GTACTTTATCTCTATACTGACTCATGGATGGTGGCAAATGCCCTGTGGGGGTGGTTGAAGCAGTGGAAGCAGAGCAACTGGCAACGCAGAGGTAAACCCATCTGGGCTGCTGCACTGTGGCAAGATATTGCTGCCCGGGTGCAGAACCTGGTGGTGAAGGTACGTCATGTAGATGCCCATGTACCCAAGAGTCGGGCCACTGAGGAACACCAGAGCAACCAATAAGTGGATAAAGCTGCTAAGATTGAAGTGGCTCAGATGGACTTAGATTGGCAACATAAAGGTGAGTTATTTTTGGCCCAGTGGTCCCATGACACTTCAGGCCATCAAGGCAGAGATACAACATAGAGATGGGTCTGTGATCGAGGGGTGGACTTAACAATGGACACTATTGCCCAGGTTATTCATGAGTGTGAAACGTGCTGCAGTTAAACAAGTCAAGCAGTTAAAGCCTCTTTGGTATGGAGGACGATGGCTGAAGTCCAAATATGGGGAGGCCTGGCAGACTGACTATATCACACTGCCACCAACCCGCCAAGGCAAGCGCCATGTGCTTACCATGGTGGAAGCAACCACCGGGTGGCTGGAAACATACGCTGTGCCCCATGCCACTGCCCGGAACACTGTCCTGGGCCTTGAGAAACAGATTTTGTGGCGACACGGCACCCCAGAGAGAATTGAGTGAGACAATGGGACTCATTTCTGCAACAGCCTTATAGACACTTGGGCCAAAGAGCGTGGCATTGAGTGGGTATATCAGAACCCCTACCATTCACCAGCCTCTGGGAAAATTGAATGGTACAATGGGCCGTTAAAAACTGCACTGAGAGCAATGGGTGGTGGGACTTTCAAACATTGGGGTGCACACTTACCAAAGGCCACCTGGTTGGTCAACACCAGAGGATCTGCCAACAGGGCCGGCCCAGCCCAGTCAGAACTTTTACATATTGTAGAGGGGAACAAAGTTCCTATGGTGCATATGAAGAATTTGCTTGGGAAGACAGTCTGGGTTATTCCTGCTTCAGGTAAAGGCAAACCCAGTCGTGGGATTGCTTTTTCTCAGGGACCTGGATATACTTGGTGGGTAAAGTGGGAAGATGAGGAACTCCTATGTATACCTCAAGGGGATTTGATTTTAGGGGAAAACAGCCAATGTACTTAATTGTATGCTGTTGCCTGCTGTATAATACTTCCATAGCCCCTCAACTAGATGTCTCCAGGTCACCAGCTACTGGCCCTGACTTCCCTCCAGCCATCATCCCAACAGAGAATGAACTTTGATAGAGCTGGATGAGCTCCACGATAAAGGAACGACCAGCATCAGCAGGCAACAGTCCAATACAGTGCACAGCCTCTCCTGCTCCGAAAGACTGTTACAAGAGATGGAGTCTGGCATCACGGACCAAATGGACTCAGTAGCATTATAGGGATTGGTCCATGCACTAAGAAATGATCTCTGTGTCTGTGTGTGTATGTGGATCTATATATGTAAGAGCGATGGTATATTGAAAATGTGGGATCTGAGCATGACTTGCATGGTACGGAATAAGGGGTGGATAATGTCCTGGGTTCAGCATTAACAGTCATTTTTTCTCCTTCTTGGTAGCTGGTGCAGTGCTATGTTTTGACTTTCGGCCTGGGAACAGAGCTGATAACACTAGTGTTTTTAGTTGCTGCTCAAATGTTTAGACTGGCCATAGGACTTTGTGAGTCTCATGCTCTGCCAGGGAGGAGGGGAAGCTGGAAGGAAGCAGAGACAGGGCAGCTGATCCAAACTGACCAAAGAGGTATTCCATACCACAGCATGTCATGCCGGGGGAGGTAACTGGGAGTTACTCGGAAAGGCACTCTCCTCGGTCGAGCTTGTTTCGGCGGGTGGTATTGTATTCTCTTCCCTTGTTATTTCCCTTATCATTATTATTATTGGTGGCAGCAGTGGTGATTTGCATTATATCTTATTTACTGGACTGTTCTTATCTCAACATGTGGGAGTTACATTCTTTCGATTCTCCTCCCCATCCTTCTGGGAGTGGGGCGTGGGCGTGGGGGAAGCAAAGAAAGGGGGGGTTAATAGAAACTGTGTGGCTGACTGGGTTTAAACCACGACACCACCTATTTTACTTCTTGTTCTGGTAGTGTTATAACTGTGTATTTTTTTGTGTTCTTTTAATACATTTTACCATGCAAGCTGATGACTTTAATTTTACATTCATCCATACCTTTAAATTTATTTTAATTTTATTAAAATTAGTGTTTTAAGTTTATTTATAATTGTAAGTGCTTTGCAGGTCAAAAAAACCCTCATCTGTTTAACTTCATGAGTTTTTCTTTTTCCCTTCTCTTTTTTCATCCTGGACGTTAGAGGAAGTCAGAGCAGATGAGCTGTGAAAGTCAGAGTGTGACTGACAGTTCATAGAATTTTGTGCTGACTCATAAAGCCTTGTATTGACTCGTGGGAAATCTTTTGTATTAGTTAACCTGATTTTTTTTTTTTTTTTAATAGTGCAGGTTTTATTTTCTGTTATTGTAAACTAGGGACTTGTTATCACATAGTCATCATTCTAGGATGCTGATATGACCTGCATTTTTCATCTTGGGAATGACGTTAAGTAGTCCTTGGAAAAAAATAACCAATTCTGAAATCTTCATATTTGTATATCAATTATTGTAATTTAGCTCCACTGCTTTTCTTGCTGTGAAAGTAATATTCATTTCTATGGAAACGTGCAGGCTAAACTAGGAGACTCATTCTAATGGGATATCCTTGGTTGTTTTACAATGACAGCTGTGCAATTCACAGAGCGTGTTGCAGCTATTTGATTTTTGGCATTCTTTGCAGTCAATGAAGACAAATTGTACTTTTCCCTTTTTCTAACATAGTTTTCCTGAGTGGGGAGTTTGATTTGATTTCCATCTTGAATGTGTCATTAAACCAGGATGTTCATATCGGAACAAACTTGGTGATAGAAGCTTTTTTTCCAGGATTAGAATGCATGCTGATGGTTGAAGAATACTTAATTTTTGTAGTTTGTATAGGTCTTGGTGAAAACTTTTTAAATTCTGAAGCAATTCTGCTTGAAACTGCATTAGGAAGAATGTTGGCTAAGGTTTTCTGGTTATTTAAAAAAAAAATAAACACTACTTATGCTAAGTGGATATTAGTCATGGCCAGCATGAAGTCATGTTTCTCTATTTAATTAAAGGCAGAATAGAGAGAATCAGAAGTACACATCGGATCTGTGCAGTGGATTAAAGAGAAATGAAAGGCTTACTTCAGAGACAGATAAAAATAGGATCACTATTTATTTTTACCAACAACGTCAGATAATGTAGGATGCTTTTAAAGATTATATATTAAATTTTGTTTCAGAAAGCACAACTCTAATATTTAATGTTATACTGCACTTAATTTTTCTAAATAAATATTCTTACATCAGTATCTTAAAAACAAGGCAGTTCTTCAATTTGAAGTTAGAAAATTCAATGCTGAATTATCAAAGTTTGGATTGAATTAATATATTCCATTAAAAATGGCAACAATTTTCAGTGTATTGTTAGTCTGTCAATTGACATTCACAATAATGTGAAAACATTTTAACTACATACAATTGTATTTGTTTAATTTTACTAACATTATAGTTTAGGTTATTCTACTGTGAAGTTATTGTTGAAATTCTGATTTGTTTGTGACATGTTTTCTGGCTACTTGGCTATTTTTCTTGTTAAAGCCCAAATGAACATTTCAGAGAGTGGAGCAAAGAACCGTGTGAGATCTTCTTCCCAGATCTTTCAGGGATTTCACTGTGAAAAAAGTGCAGATATTTGTTGCATTATTTTTGAAAGACTTTCAGCTCAGGGCTGAAGGTGTTTTGTTTCAATTCTGTCTTTGTAAGAAGGTTTGTCTACTTCTAACATGAAAATTCTCTTTTTTTTTTTAATTTTACTTTTTCCTGATCTTTCAGAAGTTAGAGCTGATCCATTTGATGATGTGGCACTGCTTTGTTTTTTATTATTAGATCCTGAAGAAGATACTGTGATGTTGTAATTGCTTAAATAATATGTTATTATAAATTGAGAAACAACTGCAGATCAGTAGTAGGTACCTGTTCTATGAAAACCTGTCTCAGCAAAGAACCTAAAATAATGATCTGTGATATCATGCTTAACTTCTAGGCTGCTCATCCTAGGAAGTATTTCAGAGCCCTGAATTAAGCTCTGAGGTTCTACATACTATAGATGAAAGAAACTAGATTCTTCGTAATGGAGTTGCAGTAAGCATTTTGAATGGGCAGCTGTCAAATCTAGACATCCAATGAAGACAATGATGAGAAGTACCAACTTGCATTGAATGACTTATTGCTTAGTAATTTAGATTAGCTAAATAAATAGTTATAGCCCATTAAATCCTGGCCTGCCCTATCTTTCCGAGAGACTTACTGGGAGCTCAGTTGACCAGTTTTGCATTTCTGTAATATTGATAAGTAAAGAAAGTGTATTTCTTAAATGGTTTTTTAACTCTAGTTGTAATGATTTCATGAAGACAAATAACCCTTTTATTCCACAGTGGTAGCTATAGGAAAACAAAGGTGTTTTTAATGCTTGTATTTTTCTGTTGAACTTTTGTGTCTTGTAAAGCGCAGTAAAATTCAAAGAGATTAAACATGTATAAATCAGACGTATTTTGTGTGTTTTGTTTAATTTGAAAAAAGAAAGTATATGTATATATTTTAACTGGAGTAGTGTAATCGTATCAGATATTGTCAATATACGTTATTTTAAATCGTGGAAATATGCTTCTTTAACTACATAGTGTAATGTTTAGTTTTTTTTTTTCTAAAAAAAATCCTCTTCCTCAGAAATTGGTATATTTTTTGTGTGTAATTTTTCAGTCTTTAATGTCTTTGGCTTCTGTATTTTTAGATAGTTACTATACATGAATTGAGGCTTTTGTAGTAATTGTGTCTTTAAGCGTTTAATCCTTTTCTTTATATGAATTTTAGGTATGCTGTTCCTCCAGAGCATGGGAAGCGGCTTGAAAGACTAGCTCAAGGTAATATTTTCAATATCTCTGTATGTAAGATGTTTGAAGGACAAAATTCCAGTAAAGCACTGTCCTTGACTTGCCTGCTGTGTTTTGTTACTTAATGTAGTGTGACTTTTGTCTGTCTGTGATATGATTCCAAACACAAACACTTTCTAGTACTCTCAGGAATTCTTAAGAAACAAAGTAATCTTTTTTTTTTTCCTCTTAGAACTTTATTTTGTACTGTCATTTTTAGTTTGATGAAGCTTGGGAAAATGAGGCTTAGTGTTTTCTTCTTCATTAGATTCTCACTGCTAGCATCATCGCCTCCTTGTGGCCTTGTTTTTTCTTGTCATACCTTCTTTTCTTCAGTAACTTTTGAATCTTCAGTTCTTAGCCAGATTTGATACAAAGGTAGAAATGTTGAAGACAGCTGAGTCTCTAAACGTTTCTTGAAAGCTAATGGCTGGGTAGAGGGTGGAAACCTGGTTAGTACCTCGGGAAGGGGGAAGGACAGAAAATGTACCAATGCTAAATCTGATTTGGTAGCAGCATGCTGGCCAGCGAGCAGGCATCAAAATCTGCTTTAGCCAAAGCATGTGGTGGCTCTTGCCCTCCAGAGGTTTAAGGAATATCTACAGAGAAGGACCAGAGGATATTTTTGAAAGGTTGAGATCTAGAGGATAAAAATCACTAGTCTATAGAAGAATTCTTCTCACATGGTAATTAGTTTTATTTTCAATAACACTTGCTCGATGAAGAGTGCAGTTTATGAGCATAGGAATAAATAAGCATGTTTCTGGGCCTGGCAGCCCATGTTTTACAGCCTGACATGAACCATATTATATAAAGAATGCTACTGAAAATTGATAATTAGATATCCTAATGATCAAATTGTGATTTTTTTTTTTTCTACATTTCTTTTTATATCTTATGTTCTCTGCATAGAGTTGCATGACTTTTTCTCAGCTATTTTAAAATTATTGCTGAGAACAGTAAGATGGCATGTGTCTCTGAGATGTGAAAGTAAAGACCTGTGGATTTGCAGTCTTAAAAGCACATCTCGGACAGATTTCAAACTGGATGATTACACTTACTATTCCTAATTTTTCCCATAGTTTCATTTGGGAACGTTGTCACTAATTTTTGTTTTGCTTTCCAGATGATTTTTCCAACTTGTGAAGTATAGAACTCTTCATATACCTACCTTGAAGCTTTTGGCTTTCACTGATTGATAATGTAGTAGACTGGGCAAGTGACACTGACTTATGAGAAGATAATTCAATAATTATTTTTAAGATTTACAGAAAATGAGCAAAGTGTAAAAGGAATAGAAAATTGGAAAAGGTTCAGACAGGGACTCCAGGGCAGCTGAAAAATTTGCCTTTTAGTAATCGTTAGTTAGTTCTAACTTTTAAGTCTGAAAGAACGTCAAATAAAAGGAAGAGGATATGATAAAGACCTGGGATGACTGGCATGGAAAAGTTGATTAAATACTTGTTATTCACTCTGTTGTTATTTTCTGATACAGCTAGAAACTCTATGAATGAAGAGTCTTATTTGGGTCAACACAAACAGAGTACGATGGTTTCTCTTACAGTATGAATTCAATAGTGGGTTTTAAAATTTTGCATATATTAAGGGGGAGATGGGTTAACTGGCAAAGAAATCTTTTAGAGGAGCATAGGAACTGCATATAGCTTTGGAAGTCTTGGAGCACCAGTTCGTTGGTACTAGATTACTCTGAGGAAGCAAAGATCAATTACATGCTGTATTTGAACACTTCTCTGTATGTCCACTTTTGACATTTTCTGAAAACAGGGTCTTTGGATGGATAGACTTTTTATTTCATGTGGTTGCTCTGTCATTTATTATGGGTTTCATATTGATTTATTATAGCTATGCAGTATTTCAAAACGAGGTTAAAAATGTTCTGTAATGAGTGTATCAAAACTTTTTTTTGTGAGAGGGAAGGAAGAGAATGGGCAGTTTCAGCAGCTCTTGTTTACTCATTTCTGTAAATTAAGTGGCTTTGAGACATGGCAGTGTTTGCTGCAGGCTAAAAAATACCTGCAGATTTTTCTTTGCATAACCAAATTGTTACAGATATTAGAGTAACCTGTACAAATTCAGGAAGTGGGTAACTTTTGGAGATACATGCTTTGCTACATGGGAGCTTTTGAAGACACTTGGTGTAAATTTATATAGTTTAAGACAGTCTTATGTTAGAAAACTATGGCATGAAGGTGCTCAGGCCTCTTAGCACTTGTAATGGTGTCCTAATACAGTAACAGGAATAGGGCATCAAGCATGGGGAGAAGTGGAAATCTCCAAAATCACTGTTTCTCAGAAGTCAGTAGGTTATACTGGGAGGACAGTGTCTTAACGTCGAAATGCCAGAGTCAGAATTGGACAGTAGACAAAATGGGGCTTATGACATCAGTCTCACCCATTGGAAGAGTTCTTATGGCCAGAAATGCTGTAAGAAGGTAGGAGAGAAAGAAATCTGGCTTCAGATACACTGGCATACACGTATGTCATTTTCCTTGATCCTTACTGATTATTGTATTTGAAGAAGCTGCCCTCTCATGTCACTCTGCCTTGGTCTGTACACATCTGCATGGAAGTGAGTTGTCTGCTACTGCTATTAATTATATGTTAGTAGAAGTTATAAAGATCTAATTGTTCCATTCTGTTCAGTTAATGAAACTTTGTTTCTGGGGAAAAACTAAATGCTTATACAGAGATATTTATTGTAACAGGAATATAAGATAGGTGAGTTAGTTTCACAGACAACCCTCACTGACGTTTCCTAAGATTTTAGTATTTGACTTTAATCTCTTTTGTGATGTTTTTCTGTGAGTAAGTTCTTTTTATATTTTTGGTTCACCTGATAGCTTAGAATGGAGTGTGGAAGATGATGCTGTAGTTCTTAAAAATGAAGATGATAGACTTAATTTGACTTAAAACTTTTTCTTTTTTTTTTTTTTTTTTTTAATGGGAAACTACCATTTCTGAGTATTTCCATGCTCTGGATGTTAAGTCCTCTGTGATCTTCTACTTTGCAACTGTTGCCTGTTAAAATACAGTCTGAGCATTATAGTAAATTATCTTAAAAAGTTGAAAAAGTAAAGTAAGCTGCATTACTGCAAGTCACTTAATAGTGAACATTAATACAGCATAGTATAAATGAGGCCATCATACTTAATTACATTTGTTTTGAAGATATTTTTAATCATATTTTTGCATGAGGACGACATCTGAAGAAAAAGAAGTTTATTTCGAGAAGGTTAGTTCTGATGCGCAGGTTCCTACTGAATTAATTGAATGCTCCTGTATAATTAAGATAATAAAATAAATGCATTAGATGGGACAGGTTGTCTAAGTCAAGGCAGCAGTTGATACATAAAATTAAAGGAAAGCCGGAATATTTTCCATTATCTTGTCTGCACATCACAATTACCACACATGCCTTTTGTGCATGAATGCTTTTATTTTGCTTTTCATTGAAATCTTGATTGACTGTGGCACCTACAAATACTTAAACTGAAAGACATTAGACTTGCATCTAATAAAGACAACAGTTTGATTTTGCCCTTCAGCTACTTTCTCATTTATGTAGATTTTTTCAATTTTATGTAGACATAAATGTAATAAAATCTCAAGTGAGCTGTTAACTGCATTTTTTATACTTGTTATGTAAATCTGAAATATCATGGTGTTCTTAAGGATTTTTTTTTCTTTCACAAATGGGTTGGAAAATAAAGAGAATTGAAGCAGAGTGGCAAATTGCAAATGACAGTTTGAAGGATTTTCAAGATCCTTTAATAGATCATTTAATTGCGGAAACTGTTTTAGGGAGAAGACATCTATCAGTGGTGTTCAATTACGTTAAAGGAGAAACTAAAGATGAATACATTGTAAGTATGTAGGGGTGTTATAAAAAGGCTTGTGTGGCTTATATTGTTAATTAATTCTATGCAGAAGTCATTACCTGCAATATATGAAAACATGGGTAGTTGTTGAAATTTGACATAAAACTTGCATAACTTCTAAGGGTTTCAAATTTGAAAACTTGAATAGCTTTTTCTCAATTGATAGTTACGAGTAAAGTTAGAAAAGTCTTGTCTAAGTGATATTAAACTTAAGGCTCTAACGTATTCATCTGGGCATAACAACACTCATATTTCACAGCACTTATGCTTTTGTGGCTTCTTTACTCCTTTTTTTGGACTCTTTTTTTACTCTGCTTTGTATAGCACACAAATTGCCATTGCTTCTTTGTGAGGATTGTTCTCTTGCAGACTCATCCTCCTAATTTTTTTTATAACAAAGTTATATCAAATCAGTTCAAATGACTGCAGAATAATTTAAATGAATTATATGAAGTTTGTATTCATACCTACCAAAAGAAAATCACTAGAAAACTCAGTTCTCCTTTCATCTCTGTGTATGTGCCAAGAGTACTGATCATTGAGTTATGATTAATATTTTGTATGTTCTAAGTCGTTTAAATCAAGATCTGTATGAATTTCTGTTACTTTGAACTTTATTACTTTATCTGGGACTATTTTTAGTTACGTTAAAGTTAAGTTACATTAAATTTAAATTTAGGGTACTCTCTTATGTTCTTAGTTTTATATCTGTAGTTTCATGTTTTAATATTTTCAGTAGACATTAATAAAATAGAAATACAGCAACTTTACTGTAGAATTTCAGGTGAAGACCGGAGTATGGAAGTATAGAAAAATGTAGGAAATCTAGCCTCATTCAGGTCAGAGTTTGATTTTAAAGTTTCCTAAGAATATGATTTTATGTGTGTGTGTGTTCTTAAATAATGACTTTATTATTGGCCAGATTGTGATATTGTTGATCATAGAATGTAATATATAGCTAATTCTCCTTTTCAAGTCCATGCAGTTGTGGAATTAGTCTTTCAGTAATAATACTGTAATTTGTCAATGTGTGATTGTTGCTTAAACGGTTGTTACCGTTGTCCTGAGTTCAGCTGTATCAGTCATTTTTTT